CGTCTACAAACTTGTGAAAAGAAAAGATTATATCTTTTCCAGGGGGAGATTATGCTGCGGTACTCTTTTTCCTAAGTCATAGTTTTTATCCCATTGGGTTTTTCTATGACATAGGTTTTTTAACGAGACCGTACATAATACATAGCGGATAATTAAGGGGAGTGTTAGAAAGGATAATTATCCTCATCACAATATTATATTTTTCTTATAGGTAAGTTTTTTCACCGTCATCAAGTCGACTTGATTTCTTTAATACTTTTACTCCCTATAAATACATATATTGTAACTTGTTATTCATAAGTTCAATACAAAAAATTCACTATACTTCTCTCCTCACCCACGTACAAACACATACAAACTTTCACTTCCTCCTTTTAATACACAACCTCTCTCTCACCCTATCTCCCTCACATCAAACGTAACTCTCTCCCTCTCTCCTTTCCATCTCATCTCATCTCCTCTCTCTTTTATTAACCAAGTTATATCAATCCACTATATCAATATATAGTGGTACATCTTTAGTATAGTTTCATATCAGTAGAAAGATTTTTAAAAAAGTCTAAAATTATTATCGATCTAGTAGACTAGTAGTATAGTATCGATCTATATCAGCAACCAGTATTAATTACTCCCTCTGTTTCAGAATGTAAGATGTTTTAGAGATTTCACACAAATTAAGAAATATTTAGTGTTCAATAATTAATGTATTTTTATCTCACATAAACCACTTTTCATAAGTATTAACCAATAAAAATTCAAGAATTGAATTACTTTTAATAAATTGTTCTTAAAGTTTGCAATTTGTTAACATTAATTGAAAAAAGTACCTTAAACAAATCTAAAACATCTTATATTATGAAACAAGAAAAAAAGCTAAAACATCTTACATTCTGAAACAGAGGGAGTATTATCTTTTAGCCTCAGTCTAAAATTCAAACTAATCTTCCGAACTTATGTTATGAATATTCGAATTTTTTCTTGTCACTTAATACGTTTTTTTTTGGGATAAAATTTGTCACTTAAGACGTTCACATTGATTAAGTATAAGTAGAAAATATAATGGAATGATTCAATCGCTAACCATAATGGCCTGTTTCAGTGCTAGCTATGGGAGGCCCTTCATGGCTTCAAGATCGGCTGCAACGAGTAGCTCAATTTCTGCATTTTGTTATCCCTTTGGTGGATTCTTTTTGTTTTACCTTGTTTCATAGTGTGATGCTCTGTTCATTTGGGTCTGTGAACTATTGTTTTGTGTTTCCCTTGTTACATTTGGTTCTATACTTCTATCCATCAATAATATTCAGACGTTAAAAAAAAAAACAAACAAAACAAAACGGTAATCCATCAACTAACATAATAAATTCTTATAACCATTAAATCACAATAAATTGACTCAATAATTTGTAAATCTTGGTTGTTGTTAAACATTTATACCAACTCGAATCAAATGCTTTTGTTTTTAACCTACAGATTTTAACTCGGAATAATTATTCCACACATATTCACAAGACGTATAAAAGCGCATGGCTTTTTCCGACCAAAAAAAAGTGCATGGCTTTTAAAACCAAAAAAAAAAGGTGCATGACTTTTTGGAGATCCTACCAACGTACGGATCATCTCACGATAAGATTACCGTGACACCCTATCACAATCAAATCTCAACTTTCCTCCCTTTTTTTTCTATGACCAGTGAGTGATCCGGAGACTAATCCATTTACCGGGTTTAGTAAGGGGTTTAAAGCGTGACGCCATTTTGACTGGCCAACTATAATTAGTTTAGATAGTTCTACGCTTTACGATAATTGATCTCTCTCAAAAACCAACATGGTCAACTCATTTTCAAGTGGAAACCACTAAATCACTATGCTTGATTTTAACTTTCTTTTTCCCTTTATTTCTTTGGTGTATCTTAACTTTTCAATTTCTTTTTGTCGTTTGTATATATCTTAATTACTATATGGTCATTTACTAGTTTTGTTAAAAGAACAATATGTTTCTTTTAAGTTTTAGCCATTTCTTTATCAAAGAAGAATAAAGAAACTTATTATCCTTTCAAAAATAATTAGAAGTATTTTTATCTAATTAAGATTATATTTTTGAAAAAAAATAAAACTTCCCTATTGATTTAGTTATATTTTTTGTATTGGTTTAAATTTTCAATTTCAAAATTTAATAGAATTTAAAATTGAAATGTAACTTTAATCTAATGTTAACATTTCCGTGGTGCGCATCTTAAATAGGGAGACAATTCTCTATTATATATTTCCTCTGTTCCTAATTTTTTTTTTTTTTTGAGATTTAACACATTAAAAAGACACAATAAAACTTAACTATAAATATATTGTTTTTTAGTCGTTAACAAATTTCCTTAACTTTTTAACCAACTATAGTTCAATAATTTAAATTTTTTTTTTAAGTTTACAATTCTATCATTATTAAGTAATAAAAAATACACTGAAAACCTAAAACATTTAACAAAATTATTTTTTCAAATAAAATATGTATGTATATTATACCCGAAAAAGGTAAAAAGTAAAAGTAACAAAAGACAAAAAGGGGGCTCAGACGACAGAAAAAGTCCAAAACTAAATAGACACTACATGGCTTATTTTATTTTCTTATCATTTAAAAAAAAAAAAACGTTTCACAGCCAGCAAACAGATAATTAACTACAACTATGCGTAAATTGATATAAAGTACACCTAATAATTTATAGATATATTCTTTTTGTCACAGTAACATAGATATATAAACGCATCAATGGTTCTGATGAACAGTCGATCACACATATGCATAGCAATTCAATTTTTTTGTTTAAAACCCTTCTTTTTAAAAAAATATCCTCTTACAAAATAAAAATAAAAATAAAGTAAAAGAAACGAGACTCTCAGTGGAAGAATTGTTTTTTGTTTTGTCTCTTTGGCAACAAAAAGGAAAAATTGTTTTCTTTGTTTCGCTAAAGGCAGTAAAAACATTGTTGGTGACATTGACAGTTCATTACAAGCATTGATGCGATCATATATCTTTTTTTTCTTTTAACAGCGATGCGATCATATATCTATAATTATTTGATACCTTATATCAATTTACGCATATTATTACTTTATCTTTTTTGTAACTGATTTACGCATATTATTGATCTGCTTTCTCTGCGTTTTACGTGTGCATCAAATTTCAAAGAATTTTAAGATTTTTGTTTTCGTTGATGAAGTTTACTTACTAACTTCATTCACATTTCAGATACAAATTGTGTTCACGTAATAGATTAGTAGTACGAGATTTAGACGATTTCAAACAATATACATTGTGAATTGTTTGTACTATTCTTCGATTTTTTTTTCTATATCTAATGTTGATTAATTCTATGAGAGAATGCCAATAAAAGTGCCCAAAGCAGAGAACAAGACGCTTATAGGACCCAAGTGTCAAATCCGGATCAGTCTTTCTCTTCACTTTTAATGGTAGTCTCTTATAGGAGTATAAAATTTTAGTGAAGTACTTTTTTCACAATCAAACGGTCTAGACCCGTATCTTCGTTCATAGACATGCATATGTCTAATTGTTTTTTACAAGCACACACACACACAAATAGCATAGGCTATCTTCGTAAATAAAAATAATATACTTTACCGCGTATAAGGAGGATTTGATTAAGTTCACGAAAAAGCGGTGGGAAAAGAGCGGCTTAGCTTGTGAAATCTCAAGTTCGGTAAGTAGGAAAATAATAAGAGAGGTGATACACATGTGTTTTTACATAGATCCTTTTCAGTATTTTGTGGTCCTCGCTTTCACGTTTACGGAAAAAGAAATACAATAGTTATCACAGAAACAAGAACTTTTTAGAGAATTCAATAGTTATATGAACCAATTCATGATTCAATAAACTATTCCTGGTAACTGGGAATTCATTAGTTTGGCTTGAGATGTCCTGGTTATATCAAATCTCACACTCCATGATTAATTAGACTGAAGTTGATTCCCTAACAAAATATAGCATATATGTAGGTCTCCAACTCAAAAGTAATTGTGGACCGTAAAGGCCATAACATAATTTATTATTATTTATATAGCAGAAACACAAGCCTAGCTAGATCAAGAACTTTATCATTGGGATTGGGTAATGGACGTAGTTAATAATAAGGTTAATTAATTAGGGGGAAAATGATGCTGTAATGTGTCTCATCTTCGAAGATAGAGGAAAGTATATTAGAATGCTAATTAAGATTGATATATATATATATATACGACTATGTTGAAACATACATATAATATGATGCCTTATTAAGAATATACATATTTGAGAGTTTTAATGCCCCATGCCATACAATGTGTACACGTGTCAGCTCATCTGTGACTTCTTATTCTCTATATATAGGAGCTCATTTTGTGACTTCTCAATACAAAAGCTCCCACTCGCTTTCGTCTTTTTCTACTCTTGCATGCCTTGTGTTTTTTTCATACACATCTCTCGTAAACCCTAGTAAATCATACAAGGTCAGTTCCCTTTTCTTTAATCATACATACTAAACAAGTTCTACTTTGTGTTTCGTGTTACTCTTACATACGTACAACGCGTATATGCATGTATGTATGATTAAAGACGATATTTGTATACACTTACTTACGTATATGCATCATGCATGTATTTTCCCTCCGTTTGATCTTAACTTATTCCACGTACGTATATGTTTATTTTGTTTTGCATGTATATGTTTTCAACTCTCTAAAGCTCATGGATTCTTATCATTAGGTCATGATGGAGTCAAAAAGTTAACCAAGTAGACTTAAGACGTTTATAATCAAAGCACGAATAGCAATGGATAAAGATTTCTCGGTACATACGTTTTCCTATATCTTTATGTATATGCTTCAGTTCTTATCTTTTCATATCAACCTGATTCTCCAACTCCGGTTTCTCTCAGGCACCGAACTTCTTAGATGAATCTAGTATGATAGACAATAGATTGTTCAATAGCCACCTTCAACAACAAAAGCAATCGATGCCGCAGCATGACCATCAACTATCTACTTCCGGGTTTGGAAAAACGTATTCTTTTGATCAAATGAGCTTTGCAGACGTGACGCAGTTTGCAGACTTCTGTCCGGGAGTGGCGCTGAACCAGACTTCTAACCATGACGATCAAGAAACCGGGATCGACCCGATTTATTTCTTGAAGTTCCCTGTCTTGAACGAAAACATAGAGTACCATAACCAAACGCAACATCTAATGTTTTCTCAAGTAGGTAGCGACTGTGGAGGAAACATATCCAGCGGTTTTCTTGAGGAGAAAGATATTCAAGACGTAGACAACGACAATTACGCCGTGAAAATCCGTTCTACTGGAGGAGAAGAACAAGAAAATAGAGAGAACAAGAATGTTGCGACAAAAGAGGTGAAGATCAACAAGAGGAAGAGAGCTAGAAGAATCAAGACCAGCGAAGAAGTGGAAAGCCAACGAATGATTCATATCGCGGTCGAGAGGAACCGTAGGAAGCAAATGAACGAGCATCTACGTGTCATCAGGTCCCTCCTGCCTGGCTCCTACGTTAAAAGGGTATGATATTCATAAATAAAGTGTATCGTGACCATCTCATTCAAGGTCCCTTATATTATGGGGGACCCGAAACTTTTTTATTATCCATATGTATATATAAAATATTGGATTTGGATTTGGATATAAAACAACATCATATTGTAAGTTATTCCATAAAAAAAAAATCCGTAGATATTGTTTAAGAAATATATTTTGAATTTTACTTTTTATAGTATATATTATTTTTTTGCCCAGTCTCCCTAATAGACTAAAACTGAGCCGGTGCTGAAATCAAACTAAAATTTTATGTATATTATAGGGAGACCAAGCATCGATCATAGGAGGAGTAATAGAGTTTGTAAGAGATCTCGAGCAACTCCAACAATGTCTGGAATCACAGAAGCGTGAGAGAGTCCTGGGAGATATGACCTCGCCAAAAAATTCTTCTTCTTCACCCATAACTGCGGTAACTCAACCGCTCACTATTACCGGAAATGTAACCGAGCTAGAGGTTGGAGGAGGGCTTTGGGAGGAGACGGCGGAGAACAAGTCGTGTTTTGCTGACGTGGAGGTAAAACTTAGAGGGTGTGACGCCATGATCAAGATACTTTCAAGAAGAAGACCAGGACAACTGATCAAGACCATAGCTGCTTTGGAGGATCTTGATCTCTCGATTCTTCACACTAACGTCACTACCATGGAACAAACCGTCCTCTACTCCTTCAATGTCAAGGTAAGTTTCACTTGCTTAATTGTATAATAGGCGTTTAATTACTTACTATAAATAGTAAGTATGTTTTAGTAAACAAAGCGGAAAACTAACTGTCTAGTGGTTTCTTCTGGTCACTGAGAGAGCATATGTTTTAATGGAGGCGATTACATGTTCTTAATGTCGGAGTATTCACTAATCAGTACTAGTCATAAAACACAGCTATAGTTCTACTTAATAGGCTATACTGTATTCCACAATAAGCATTTATTATGGATTAGCATAGTAGTGCCTGAAGTTTGGGATACCTAAGGCAAATGAGAAAAAAAATTGTTTATATACATTTTTGTAATAAATTATTCGTGGTAAATATTACGATATATTCTTAATCTATGAAATGGAGATTTAAAATATATTAATAATATACCAAATAAAATTTTGAAAACAGGGCCACAAAAATTTGCACAGTATATTAAGGGTCCTATTTTTTTGTTAAAGATATTAAGGGTCCTAAAACATATACTTTTTTCTTTTGTTCACTAGGCTTTGCCTTGTGGGTTAGTATTGTACTACAAAGTATATGTACTAACAGCTAAAGGCTAACATGAGGTAGACGTATAACATGTGCAGATTACAAGTGAGACGTGGTTAAAGGCAGAAGCTATTGCAAGTTCCATCCAAGAGATATTTAGTTTTATTAATGCAAATACCATGTAATGGTTTTATATATTTTCCACTTTTAATATTAGTTCGTTTAAAGACACTTTAAATAAGTTTATGGCTGTAACCTCAAAAACAAAAGTTTTTGTTGGATGCATGTTGGATGTCTTTTTGGTTTGTTTGTTTTTGTTTTGTTTTGTTTTTTTTTACCTTTTAATGTCATTAGTTTCTTTTTGTGTTAGATATGGTGAATCGAATCATCAAGAAATATCTATTGTGATTTTGTGGGTAGTTTGTGACATTTTGATGAAATAATTTATAAGTCCTGAACGTTGGAACAATCTTAATTTGTTTTTTTTTTTACCTTATTTTCTTGAGATTTGTTTATTCCACAAATTAATCAGATCTAAAGTCTGTTAGCTTCTTCAGATTTTTTTTTGTTTTTGTTTTTGCATGGATTCTATATTAATTTGTATTTACAGAGTTTAACAAACGAGGTACGTGCAAGTGCAAGTGCAAGTTGCAACGTTATCTTGCATTTGCACACCTTTGTTGATCTCTACTTTCTTGTAAATGTACCATCTATATATTCTTATTCGTTTGGCATTTTTTGTCACAATGAAAGCATTTCACAATTTTGCACTTTCTTTTACCGGTTTATCAAGTTTTACTTTCTCTACTTTCTTTCGTTACCCTTCTCCTCCTTCACAACAAGTAAAATCCACACTGAGAATATCCAGCAAGATCCATAAGTACTGGAGCTCCTTACCAAGCAGTGGCACTGGCGGTGACCAACAGCTTAAAATGGTTTAAAGTTTAAACATAGAAACTGTGTCTTGAACGATTATCTTTTCAAAGTGTTAATTAGAGGCTCCTGATTTGATTGTTTCTATGTTTCAATATATTTGGTCACTTATTGTCGTCGTTGTTGGTTTTGTTGGATTAAGTGTGTAGCGGTCATAGCTACACTCTCTACCGGTTATCGTCGACAAGGATTTGGTGAATTTTTTATCCACTTTAAAGAACAGAGGATACTATTTGGTGTAGGTGTTATGGACCAGAAATTGCGGTAAGTTGCATACATTTATTTTATAGAATGAACATTATAATGTCCCAAATTACAAACTACACAATCTTACTGCAACTATAAATCTCACACAAATGACGTAGACCGAGATTGATCATTACAATCTTATAACAAAGATCACACACATTCAAACGATACTCCCACCCATTATTATAATCTCAAATACGATGTAGTAACGTGGAGGGTAAATGTGATTTAAAAGAGGCATATGTCGAATCTATTTATAGATTTCGATGACGGAAAATGGATAAACCGAGCATACGATCTCACAACGAGAAAAACCTGAGGCAAATGAAATAGCTTCAATCTCTGAAAGATATCTCTCTTTACCACCGGAACATTGTGTTAACATTATCATGTCCATACCAAACACAATGTTAGAACAAACATCTCCGCTCTTCGCTTCTAGTGGTGTAACCATGTCCACTATTATCACCTTTCCATTGTTTGGAAGACTCTCCCGACAGTTTTTAAGAATTTTCACGCACTCATCGTCCTTCCAATCATGCAAGATCCTCTGTTATTATTCAAGGTTATAGTTATGCTTTGCTATGTAATTTCAGTACGTATGCAAATCTGTATTTATTTATCGGTTGCGATCATATTTGTAGAAGGCTTACTATCATGAAAATAGCATCTCCGTTTGGATTTTTTGTGAACATATCTCCCGCCACATGTTGTACGCCTGAAACCAGTTTTACTAAAGTTAAAACTCGTATACAGATGTATAAGAAAATGTTTTGATGTCAAAGTTTACGATCATTAAAGACTATTATGCATGAAAAATAAAATTGCATTGGATTCAGCATTTCTTATCAGAGCTAGATAGAGACGAGTATTGGTACTATATCTTAACTAAAAAATAAAAAATTCACTAGATCATTTTGTAAGCTGCGTGTGTACTAGGATAGTACTAATTAGTTTTGAGAATTTTCTCTAGAACTGCTAGTTTTATATTTTTCATGTTTATGCTATAATTAATGATAAAAACAATAGTAATAACATGATTCATACCGGGATAAGGAGGAGCAGCGGTTAAAACTGAGGGTAAATCGAAATTGATACCCTTAATGTGAGGATATTTGGAAGTGATGAGACTTAGTATGTGACCAAGTCCTCCTCCCACATCCACCAAAGTCTTGACATCTTTGAATCCTTCATAAACATTTAGAACTTTCTCCATAACGATGGTGGAAGATTCCAACATAGCCCGGTTAAACACTTCACCGAATTTTGCATCCGTTTGGACGTATTCGTATAATTTCATCCCATGCGCATAACTGAATGCATCTCTTCCTTCTAATACCACATCTTTGAGATGCATCCTGTGGAACAAAAAAAAACCATTAATTGGTCATTATATTAAGTGGTAATAAACCGGTTTAATGTATTTGAAGAGTCGACTATTGTTTTCTATTGTCTTGATATGGGAATAATAATCATAAGTACCAAGTCTTGATAAATACGTCGCTATGGAACACCATGCACAGAGACGCAAACGAACCCGAGACGTCATTATTGTTTGAGAGATATTTGAAGACCGGTTCGGCTGCATATACCCTCTCGACTCTGTCGGTTTGGCCGTTCTCTTCTAATACTACAGTACGGCATTTTAAAACCGAAAAGGTGGCGAGAAACCGCAGCATCCGGTCTAGCAAAACCGGAGCTTCCGGGTTGCTCGGTTTGGTTGGGAGTCTTGAAGCTATCTCAGAAGGTGAAAGCCACAAACCGTCGCCTAAGGTGGTGATGATGTCGACCACACCGAGCTCCAAAGCGGCCTTGAGGACCATGGGGAAGGCGTTTGCGTTTGAGAGCCTCCTCGCTAGCAAACTCGCATCTTCTTCAACTTGTTGTTCTTCTTTGGTTTTACCCGGTTTAAGTTTGCGGTTATCCATTGTTCGTGTTTGATAGGAGTGATGCTACTAGGGTGGGTTGGTTTAAACTTACACACATTGTGCCTAGGAATTTATAGGGTAAAGTATCAATGGTGTTACTTGTTAGAGACATTTGGTTAGGTGACCGATGACACAAGATTGAGATATCTGGCTAACATTGTGTCCTTCCTTTTTCTTTCGCACATTAATATATCTATTATTTTGATTGTTTTGGTTAATTTTAAGCTAAAGTGGCCATGTAGGCAAGAACATGTTTCGTTCAATTAGCCATTTTCATTAACGTGGTATTTACGTTAGCCCATTATTAACGAAATGTAAGTAGATGTTTCAGTCGATAGAAACCAAAATACATCAACACACACCGCAACTACAGGTTTCTGCCTACAAATTCAAACAGATTAAGGAAAAGTAAAAACAATGGTTACTTTACATATGGACTATATAAACAATGGTTACAAATTAAACAACGAAGGTAAAGTAAAAACTAAAATTTGCTTTATTATTTTTAACTGACATTTGTCTTGGAAGAAGATGAAAGTGAAAAAAAGTAAAAACTCAACGATGGTAAAGTAAAAACTAAAAGATTTATCGAGTGAAGCATTGACAATTGGCTATACAGTTTTCATTTCAATTGGCTCAGGCTCTGCTGTTCAGCCAGAGTGTTTTGGAAACTGGCTTAACTTTAATTAGATTCATAATGACAAAGTCAAACCGATAAAAAGGTGATTTATTTCAACGTATCAAAAATCATTGTTGTTAGCGAATGCAACTAACTTTATTTGCATCTAGTCAAATTTAAACAAAACTTACACCGAACCACCATATCACCATTTTGTTCGACTTGGTTCAATTTGATTCGAGTTTTGCATTCGGATTGAATCTAGGATACTTAAAAGTTTAAAATACAAGACAGAAAACAAAATTCCAAAGAAAGGATCTAAGAAAGACTCCTATCAAACTGAACATATATTTTCTTGCCTTGAATCGCTGAGGACATGAATTAGTACGTAGTCGTCTCAATCGTATTTGTGGTTTGTTATAATTTTCTTTCTAAAATTCAACAGTGTACTATAGTCTATAGTCATGAATAATACTTCAAATTCATTTGACGTAAATTGAGAAAATTATTCAAAGTATATAAAATTTATTGTGACTCGATTAAAGTTAAGAGTCAAGAAGCCCCAACAGATAACCATTAAGTTTTCCCATAAAAAGGAACTGTCATTAACATTTACCAATGAGATTTACGGAGAAGACGTTAAAACAGATTCCTCTTCTTCAATTAATGTCTCTTAATCAAATTTATTATCCTCAACTGTAATCTGCCACTTTCCTTCTCTATATAATCTGTATCATTACATGCATGCTTGCATTCAAACCAAAACAAAGCAGATCTCTTCTAGTATCTCTTTTAACATCTTTAAAGAAGTGACCTTACAAAAAGAAAATGGCTTCAAGGTTCTCATCACTCACCAATCTTGTGCTTCTCTCAGCAGCTGCGTTGCTTCTGGTCCACGCAAGTGCTCGCAATTTGCAGCAAACTCAGGATTTTCCTCTCCATGGAGCAGCTACTTCTCCTACCAATGCTGAGTCTCCAACCGTTACAGCTCCTCTCGACGACAGTAAGAATTTCATATTCGGTGGTGCTGCCGGCGGAGTAGGCGGATTCATGGGAATGCCAGGTGCTGGTGTTGGTGGTGGACCCGGTTTGACTTTGCCTCTCCCTTCCGGGACGCCGCTTCTTGGTGGGCTTGGTGGCTTGGGTGGTGCTATGGGCCTTCCCGGTGATGGACCGATTGGTGGTGGTTCTTTCCCGGGCTCACGAGGTGGTTTGGTGTCTCCTTGAAAAAGAGAGATTAAGATGATTGGTCCCTAGCTTGATTTAAGATGTGTTTGAGTTTTAGTCATTGTTGTTGTTTCGGTTTTTCTCGTATTTGGTTGTTTTCATAATCACCAGTTTATGGTTGAATAATGTGTTTGTGTGTTTCCTTGATTTGCTTTAGTAAATGTTTCCTTTTTGTTTGACTTGTGTGGTATGTTTATGTTCTACTGCATAAATACTAAAACATAATATGAATAAGTAATTTAAGAGAAAATGTAAAAAGGATTAAACTATAAAATTATAAAACTGAGAAATGTATACTTTTTATGGCTAAACAGATTTATCTTATTAGAATGATAAAAAAATATAAAGTACTTAAAGCGGCATTCAAATTCTCATAAATTTGGATTGATTTTTTTTGGTGGTTTAGCTGTTGAGATTGATTACCAATTTTGGTCGATCCTTGCATGTATACAACTATTGATCATAAACTATAAATATGTATGCACGCCAAAAAAAATTCAAGGAACAGTAATAATCAAATTCTCCATTATAAAAGCGTCTTGTTATTGCAACAAACAGAGAAACGACATAATATACAAGGAACAGAGTTTTGTCATCGTTATAATCATCAATATGTCACCGAGTCCGAGACATGTTATAAAGAAGATAATTTTAAAAACTGATCATCTAAGTGGTGCTGTCTTGAGACAAGGCATCCCAGTGTGAGATTTCTTTTTCTTAATTTTCTCAGTTAAAATCCAATGGTTGCTTCACCTTCAAGTTTCATAGAATGGGTTTTTTTTTTTTTTTTTTTCTTTGTCTGGTTAATTTAGGACTGACGCTATGTTATTGGACCCGTTTGTGTCGTTAGAAGAATTTTCAAGTAATATTTTTCAACTTCCACAATGTATAAACTAAAAATTGTTATAGGATAAATATAATCTAAGCAGTCATTATTTGTGTGTTCTGTTTTGCTCTGTTTCTTGATCAGTTACGCCTCCAGGTGGATTCAGAGACCAACCCAAGAGAGGTCAAATCACCTATTCATTCTTATACATATACAGAAAGTTTATCTCTTCCTTAATGTTTCGTATCATGTAATTTGATAACCTCTGTGCAGGTTTTGAAAGTGTTACATACATGCTACAAGTGAGAGAGAAAGACTCTTCCATCTCCACATACTCGCCTCTTGAAATCTTGAATTGAATATTCTCATGGTTTTGTAACTTCTTGCAGGGAGGAATCATTCACCAAGACTTCACTGGTTATAAGGATACAATCCATGAAGGAGATGTTCATGTAAAAAAAAAAAACTGATAACTGAATGAATCTTCTGGTTTCATCCTTTTTGATTCTGGTTTTTATTACAGTGGAGGAGAGCAGGAAGAGGAATCATTCTTTCAGAAAGGCCTGCAGAAGGATTCACCAACGGCTTAACCATTGGGATCAACCTCCCTTCCACATACAAAATGTATTCTTCAGAGAGATTCTACTTTGTGTTCAATATAACCTTTCAATGTTTTCAATCTCTTTGTGTTCTTTGATTTTCGACAGGATTAAGCCAGCAAACCTAAAAATATCGAGTTGTAATATTCCGAGAGCTGAGAAAAATGGAGTAGAGGTCAAAGTGATAGCCGGAAGTTCAATGGGAGTCCAATCAACTTACCACACAAAAACACCAATCATGTTCCTTGACTTTACTCTCAAGCCAAGGTCTCTAACCATCCAGACCGTTCCAGAGACGTGGTCCGCTTTCGCCTACGTTATCGAAGGCGATGAGGGCGTGTTTAGCTCCTTGGGCTCTTCCACGGTACACGCACACACTGTTGTGGTGTTTGGACCAGGGGATCAAGTTTGCGTGAGGAACACGTCAAGGTCTAGGTCGTTAAGGTTCTTGTTGATTGCAGGTGAGCCGATCGGCGAGCCTGTGGTTCAGAAAGGGCCTTTTGTGATGAACTCGCAGGCTGAGATTGATACGGCCTTTGGAGACTATTGTAATGCCAAGAATGGCTTTGAATTGGCCAAGTCTTGGAGCTCAGACTGGAAAAAGAATTCGTATCAGTAATAACTAGGGCACAGTTATTGGTTTTATTTTTCTGACGTTTTAAGATCACATATATCAATGCTACTTTATAAAGTTGTTTAATTTTAATTTATGATCAGATGTATTATGGTAATCTCACAAGCTAAAATTGTTGACTTGGACTTGTTATTGACCATTCTCTGTCTTGCATGTTTCTTGATAAAACGTTATAAAAAAATTAGCATAACTTTAAAAATTGATCTTTTGATTTTTGTAGTTTAATCTACAAAGATCTTGTGCAATCGTGTAACAATGACTCACTGTGTAAACCATAAACGAATTTTTTTTTATTACATTTCTTGTTACCCAATCAAGAATGAAATTTTTGTGCACTTGAGTTTTGTAAATCCAGCAAAGATAAGCTAATCTACAAGAACTTCATAAAACCAATCAAAAGCAAATCTAAGAACTCTGCAGGAGGCTCCAAACGAAAATCTAAAAGAAGAAACTATACTCATCGATCTTAAGAAATCCGAGAAACTCACTAGAGAAAGTTTCTGATTAGTCCGATTCATTCAAAAGCCCATTGATTCTCCTTGCGAACCTCTGCTTCTTCCTCGGGTGTATAATCGTTGACGATGTTGAATCTCTCGCGGACCTCGTCAACATCTTTGCAGGCTAAGATCATGGAAGCAACAGTTTTGCAGGTGAGATCAAGCAGAGGTTTGATGGTTAGGTAATTCGCAGCGAGCATGAGATCGAAGATCGTCTTCTGGTCGGTTTCCATGAACTCGGCGTCCCATTTCTTCAGATCCTCTTCGGCGGAGGAAGAAGAAGAAGATTCACCTCCATCGCCGACGGAGACGGCGTGCTTCTTCAAGTACGCGATCACTTTGGAGAGGACGCTGCCTGTGACGTTTTCGATCGTGAATCGATTGTTGGGGACTGCGATCGCTTCGTCGATCTCTTCTTCGTAAAAAGCAGCTACGATCCGCGATTGGACTGCGATCGCTTCGTCGATCTCGAACTCTTCACCATCGGAGCTCACCAATAGAGTCTTCTTCTTCGACGTCGACATCGAATGCAAACGAATTTCAGAGAAGAGGGATGAAATTACAGAGACGTGAAGGGTTTATATACTGATTGTGGACTTGCAAGTGGAGTAAACTAAACCAAACATAAACCGGATTCATTTTAAATGAATTTGCTATTAAATTACCTGTAAAAACGGCGACGTTTTAAGTCGTCTTTCCACATCACCTAGACGAGTCTCCTCCGGATAAGCTCGACCGTTTTAGCCGTTGAAGGTTGTGTGAATAACAGACTCGGGTTGGTTACGCAGAGAAAACTGAAAACTCATTAAAATAAAAGAAAAAGTTTAATGCCAACCTTAAAATTGTTTAAAGTACGGTTCAATCCCTGAACTGAACGCTACCGATTGGAGCACTAAGCAATAAACTGAACCGGAATTGCAAATAATCTAATTGGTCTGATTTTACTCAAAAGATAATTAAGGGGCTTAATGTTAATAGAAGTAAAACATAGGGACGAATTTTAAAAGGTTTTGTTTCTTTTTCTTCTCTACCATGAAAACTGAAAACTGAAACCTTCTCTGCTGTATTCATAAACTAATTTTCTGTGTATTCTAATCCTATAATTTTCTGTGTATTCTAGTCCTAAACATATATATATATATATTTTTTTGTCTTACAGATGTAAAAAATGTGAATTAATGCGTACTTGTCATGTAAATTCCAGCAAACATAAGCTAAAACACAAGAACTTAATATGAAATCACAAGAGACTAGAGGAAGGAATTAATTTGTTGTGCAAATCTACTTCAAAAGGCGCCTGCTTGTTTAGATATTTCACATTTGAACATCAAAATACTTCAGAAGTCAGAACTATCTCCCACAAACATCAAGCATATGCTCTGTGTCGAGAGTCGAGACGAGTCACACACAATGTACTAATAGTCCATGCTCTGTTCTTTATGCCTTCTATCTTTTGTTGTTTGAATCACAAATCTCCTACTTAGGTACATGACTTAGTAAAATATCAACTAGCTCAAAAGTATAAAGTCTCATGGTCTTGGATCACAAACTACTCCGAGTGTTAAGTTCTGTTACAACTGATAATGTTGTAGTACATATAATATCATAATAGTGAGATAGAGATTTGGGTTTGAAAACACGTTGACCTGGATTTACAAAACACTTTCTTAGATCTATATAGTTACACACAATTAATATTAGCACCAGAACACAAAACCAAAACGAAAATTAACCCCTTTTTACATTTCTTGCTGTCTAAGTTTTCTGACTCAGATTTCTTCTTGTTCCTTCATTTTTTCCTGCGAGAATCTCTTTGCTTTTGCTTAGCAGTGTTTTTCTCAAAGGCTTGCTTCCAGATAGGTGTCCATCTCTCTTGAGCAACTATGAGCTCACTCAGCATCTGCTCCAACCGAGGCAAGATCACAGGTAAAGCTTTCTTGTGGTTTCGTCTCACCACTTCAGTCACTTCAAGACCATGTCGTCCATATATCTGCTCGACTGTTCTGTAGAACTTCCCTCCAACACCTTCCAGTCCCTTATCTTCTCTCATGGCTTTCTCTGCAATCTCCACCGCATCTCTCAGACATCTCATCCACATATCTACCTTATACATATCCTCTTCGCATCTCGCCATTGCTACTTCGTACTCGTTTAGCTTCTTACTTTTCCACACCACATTATCATCTTTCTTCTGACTCACTGATTTGTACTTGTTGTTGAGTACCGTGTCGTCTGAGACCGGAGACTGCTCCTCCTTGGGGATACACCTATAGCTAGGGTTTAATCGTTCTAAACCCTTGGTCGATGTTCTTGTTTTCTTCGGAGATGACTCAATCTGTTGCGATTCTTTGTGCAAGATTCCTCTTTGCTTCCTCTTCTTTCTCTCCAAATCGATATTTTCTAACTTGGTAAAGGAATCTTCTTTCAGCTTCTCATCTACATCAACCACAATCCCAAGATTCTTCACGTCGTCTTCAATCTCTTGATCACGAAGATGATGGTCTCGTCGAATCTCGCCTTCTTCGAGACCGGAAACTTCATCGGTCTCTCCCTCTCCATCACGAAGATGGTCTTTTCGAATCTCGCCTTCTTCGAGACTGGAAGCTTCATCGCCGTCTCGGGTGTGTCTGTCTTCATCATCTTCTCGAGGCTCGATCCCGCGGAGAAAGTCTGCGAAGCGTGGATAGAGAAACTCGTCTCTCTCGAGCAGAAGCAGAGCAGATTTGATGGCTTGGGTCTTGTTGATTCTGCGGTGCGTGAAGTCTACCAACAAGGAGGTCATCTTTTTCATATCCGTTGGAGTTAGTTTCTCGTTGAAGCTACTCCATAACTCGAGCACGTTTCGCGGCAGCATCGGCATATCGCTTCCGGCTTCTCAATCGCCTTCTTCAAACTTTAACTTTTGAGTTTTTTGTTTGATTTCTTGTTTCACACGCGACTACTCTTTTTATATGTCTTTTAATTAACGTCATTATTTATGCGTATAGTTTTTTTCTTCTTTTTTGATTGGGTCATAAATCTATGTGTATATTACCCTATTTAATACATAAAATATTATTTATGTAATTATTTGAATCTGACGTCACAATCAGATATGTTGTGGGCAAAAATATGAATTGTGTTTGTTAATCCGCTGAATTTTGGAATTATTCTGTGAGTTTAGCAAAAATTTCAGCAATTTTGTTTTTATAGTAGGAATAAAAAAAAGGATTATGTCAAAATTCTTTAAATTAAACATATTTTAATTGTTTAAAGTCCGGTTCAATACCTGAACCAAACGCAAAGAATTGCAATAACTGTAATTTTCTGGGTCTAATTGACTCAAGACAAAATTAGAGGGGTCAATGTCTACAGAAGGTATAAATCCAGTGGCGACTTTTTATGGTTTTGTTCCTCTCGCCATTTTGAAATTTGAAATCTGCTTTTCAAGTTTCAACTTCACTCTCTTCTCTCACCTCTATCAGTAGCGCGAAAATTCATCCCCAACCAGAAGCTTCTTGCCACTGGAAGATCCACACGACGCATCTCTCGATCTACAAGAGATTCACAGGTTTTCCATTTTCTCTCTCTCGTCTCTTCTTAATTTCATCGATTTTTGTGCCGATTGTTCACTAATTTGTCCCCCATTGTCGAGTTCCTTCACTGTCACTGGAGTTGCAGAGACGAAACTGGAGGATCGTGTGTCCTTCATCTAATTTAATCTTAAGCTTGAGGTAATTGCGAGTTTTGAAAACGAAACGAATATTCAGTTTTCACATTTTGTGTGATTTTCGCCTTTTTTGTTTGTGCATTGAATTTATATGTTAATGATCTCGATAGATGGCTCCATGCTGTGGAATTGTTTGTAGAAAAGAAGTGGAAATTACTGTGTGATGTTTGATTTATGCACTGAAATTAGAAGTTTCAAGCTGGGGATGATTAGATTGAGATACTCTGTTGCTCTGAATCCTTTCACAGTCTTCCTTTTTGAGTGTTGTAACAACTTTCTTCTTCTGGGGAATGTTTAAAAGGATTTATCAGAAGAAATTGAACGTCTTGTGCTGAAAGTTTAATATTAGCTTTCTTCAACTTGTTTAGTGTTGAAAAAGCATGTCATCATCTATATCCTATCATCTTTATAAAATGAGTCTTCTTTTATGAATTTTGTTAGACTCTAGTGGCCTGGTAATTGGATCTTGAAGGTCTTGCATTGTCACTAGATTCTTAATTTCATCTCAGGTAACTGTTCATTGCTCTTTACTCACTACTCTAAACAATAATTTACTGAGTTCAATTCATGATTCCCCTGTAGTTTCTCGGTCAAAGTTGTAAGCTGCAATAAGGCTTGTTGTGAGAGTGTTATGTGGTTCTCATTCTTGAATGTGGAGAAGTCAAAAGTGCGCTAAGCATCTTTTGCTGTTTAATTTATAAAACTCCTAACTTTGAGAAATATAAAACTCGTAGCTTGTTGGATCAAGAGGACTACTCTGGTCTTGATGTAATACAGATATAGCGAAATAGAGATTTGTGTTGAAAACTTTGACATGATGATAGTGTTAAAAAACCTGCCCTTTCATTGATTCATAAACCTCTCTTGTTATACATACAACATAGTGTCATCTAAGTGGAACATAAAAAAGTTAAAAAGTTACAATTTTTGTTCATCCAATAATATGATTCAATTGTGCTTTCTTCTCCTCCACTCTCTGCTTTGCAGTGTTTACTTCAAAGACTCGCTTCCATCCAGATTTCCACTTTTCCTTAGCAGCAGTGAGCTTACTCAGTTTCTCCTTCAACCGACGCAAGATCACAGGTAAAGCCTTGTTGTGATCCTCTCTCACAATCTCAGACATATCTCCACCGTACATCATCTCAATGCATCTGTAAAACTTCACTCCGAGATCTTCCATCACCATCTCTCCACTTATAACTCTCTCCGCTTTCTCCACCGCACTCTTCAGAGATTCCATCAACATATCAGTCTCGAACATCTCGTCCTCGCATCTCGCCATTGCCTCTTCATAGTCGATTACTTTCTTATGATTCCCCGAAGGACCAGGAAATCTCATCAGACGGCACTTGTTGTTCAGCACCGTGTCTTTGACCGGACTCTGTTCTTGTTCTTCCTCGGGTATAAGCTTATAGCTTCGTGTCACTCGTCCCAACCGCTTAGACGTTCTCGTTCTCTTCACAGGCCTCTCATGACTCGGGTCCGTTTGCAACAAGACCCTTCTCTTCTTCCCCTCTAAATTAAGCGCATCGGTAACGCGTTTCTCTAACACTCGTTTGTCAGAAAAAACCAATTTAATCCTAATCTTTGGACGGCTCTGCTTTTTCAAGTTCCCATCTACGTCAGCCCCAACCGCAAGATGATTCGGCTTGGTTTGATGAATCTTTGGCTCGCCAAGAAGACGATGGTTTTGTTGGGTCTTTCGATCTTCATCTTTTTGAACTTTTCCGGCCAACAAAAGGTGAAAAGATTTGCTGAATTCGGTGTGACTGATTCTGCGCTTATCAACGAAGTCTTCGATCAAAGACATCAGCTTTCTCTTCTCCGACGGGCTCAGTTTCTCGTCCATGATCTTAGCGACGGTGATGATCTTGCGTAACTCTTCCTCGTCGTACGCCATCGCTGATTTCGCAATCGGTTTGTAGCTTTCTCTCACTTTTTGTTTTGTTGTGTTTGTGTATTGTGATTGTTGTTGTTACTTACGCAGAGAACCTGAGTGAGACTCCTTCAGTATATATAGGTAAGCCAAAAAAGGAAAGATTTAGGGCTACTCTTATTATTTCCTTTTTTCTCAAGCGTGTATCTTAATATCTTACTAATAGTTTTTTTAAAATTAAAAGTCGGCTTTGTCTCCTAATTCTTAACACATGTGGGATTCTGATTCAAGGGACCTTTAACACAGGTGGGATTTTGATGAGTCATACCAATTTTGACCTTTTAAGAAAAAATATAAAATATAAGTAAAATCTAGCTAATTGTGAAGAAATTTGTGTGACAAAATGGAATCTTATTTAAAGAACCGAACCCGGAAGTATAATCCTCCACACTCTTTAACAAACTGACAAGATGAAAGAATGATCATATAATTAGCTAATCTCAAGCTACACCATTGATTTGGTCTTGTGATTGCTTTAAGCCCGCTGCCTTGGCTCCTGAGAACAATAATGTCCTTATCTATGTTAGAGCATTATAAGACATCGTCAAGAATATGCATTTGGGGAAAATTTAGCAATGTCGACAAATGGATGTACCGATTCTTGTTGCTTAATCTGTAAAGTAAAGAGAGTAACCATCGATCTTAATTACTCCCTCCGTTTTTTTAAGATGAATTTTCTAGACATTATTTGTTGTTTTACAAAGATAAATTTTTTAGCTTTTTGATACACTTTTTTAGTTTTCAAAAAACATTAAGATCTCTAGCGATGCAAGCGTAGAGATCGCGCTCCATCAACCTCGCCATCTTGTTGATGCCAAAGATGTCTTCATTGCCAAACACCGTTGGGGAGGGAATGGATTGCACGAAGGTTCTGCCCAGAGAGACAGTCTCACAAGCACGCTTCAGCTGCGCCACCCATCTGCTGGCGCCGAAGGGAGAGCCTCTGCTGATGAAATCGGCTACAGATCAAGGGTGAGCTCCCTTTCAGGTCGTCTCTTCATTGTGCTCCTGCTCCACCCACCACTTCACTTCAGTTTTTCCACCACCAAGTCCCCTAATGACACATCCTGAACCTAGTGTGCCTAAGTCTTCCTCATTCAGAGACACATCCACGGCTGCCCAAGTCTCAGGTGAGATTTGCTTGCAATCTCTCAGGTAAGCAACCTTCTTAGGCCTAATTAGAGACCAGAGACTCACGAGGTCCGCTTTAATCTTCCGTCACAATGTTTTTCATCACTATTTAAGTTAGATCACTATAAGAAAAAAAGAAAAAAAAAAACAAAAAAAAAGAATATTGTAACAGAAAATTTGAAAAAGAGATATGTTCATTCTCAATTGTGTCTCTAATAGTGTTTACAGGTTTACGAGTGGGAGAAATGGAACGAGATTTTTTTCTTTCCTTGTACATGTTGTGTACGAGTTCATAACCGAAAGTTTAAATTTCTTGTGCCACGATATCAAAATTATGTGTATCGTTTAATATACAAAATAAATATTATCTCTTGCTTTTATTTAATTAGTATCTCTTGGCCTTACATTAATGTATGTCAAAGTGTCAACCTAGCTAAGCTTTAAACTTAAACTGTTTAAAGCCCGGTTCAATACCTGAACTAGACGTTAGCGATTGGTGGTAAACAACTAAACCGGAATTGCGATAAATCTAATTATATGGGTCTGATTGATTCGAAAGATAATTCAGGGGCTTAATGTTAGAAAGTAAAACATTGGGACGACTTTTCAAGGTTTTGTTTCCCTTTCGTCTTTCCCATTTTGAAAACTGAAAAATGAAAATTGAAATCGTCTCTGATTTTCAAGTTTCAACTTCACCTCTTACTCTCTCACTTCTAAGAGTAGCGCGAAAATCCATCCCCAAGCAGAAGCTTCTTGCAAATGGAAGATCCCAACGACGCATCTCTCGATCTCCAAGAGATTCGCAGGTTTCCGATGTGCTTTTATCTCTCTCTCTCGACTGTTCATTCGTTGATTTTGTGCTGCTGCCTGTTAATCTATTTGTCCGCATTCTCAGCCGCGTGAAAGAGCTCGAGTTACTTCATCGGAATTGCAGAGAAGAGCCTGGAGAATCGTGCTCGTCGGATTCCGAGAATCTGGTCCAAGGTTTTGCTCTTCAGCTTGAGGTAATTCCGAGTTTGAGAACTCGTCTCCATTTCCACATTTTTCTAATTGTTCGCCTTTGGTGGGCTGCGCAGTGAATTTTTATATATACACAATTGCGATAGTAGATATGCTAATTTATGTTTTGGATTTCTTCTCTATGTTATGAAATTTGCGTAGACGAAGGTGAAAGAGATTGTTGAAGAGTACTACGATGTCGAAGATTCAGGTATGCTTCTTTTTTTAGATTTCATGTTTAATCCTCAATACTTCAAGGATGAGATGGTACTGTGAGGCAATGAAATTGAACTGATGCAAAAAGATGTGAATCTCACAGATGCTTACTTGGCGTACTTGAGAGAGGAGCTACACTCTGTGGAGGCTGAAAGTGCCAAGGTTTCTGAAGAAATCGAACGTCTGTCTAGGTCTCATGTGGAAGGTCCAATACTAGTTTTTGTTCTGTTGAATTAATGTTGAAGCTTTAGCTTTCCAAGTCCTATATGTTTTATAACATTAGCATTCTTTTATGAAATTTTTAGATTCTAGTAAGCTGGATAGGGATCTTGAAGGCCTTCTAGTGTCACTGGATTACATGTCATCTCAGGTTACTCGCTGTTCATTGCTTTTTGCAGTCATTTAACAAGAGTTTACTGGGGTTAAATACTTGAATGCATGATTTCCTTGTAATTTCCTCAGTAGAAGTTTTGATTTCTGGAATCAGAAGGCTGATTTTGAGGTTTATGTGATTCTCATTGTAGGATGTGGAGAAGTCAAAAGCGAATTTACCATCTACCAGCTCAATGGAAATATGTGATGCGTCGACTTGGATTGATGATGAGAAATTTAAGGTGCAGAGGTTTTAAAGTTTTGTTTCTAGGAAGGGAAGCTTGTGTGTATATGATCCTTTAATCAACGAAAGTTCTTCTTTTAACATATAATCCTTTAATCATTCAAACTCTTGACTGGTCTGGTTCATTCAAACTACGTTAACCGAGCACACAAAAGCAAAAGATCATATACTGTCATTTTCATCTTTCTATGCATATACTACTGCTCGTCTTCATGTTGTTTTATGTTGTGCAAATATTTGTTCATTTTCGGTTTTAGTAGAAAAAAATGAGAACCCTACCACTTCTCTGCTTAGTTTCTAAACACCCTTTTTCACTTGTTTTTCAGATGTTTGAACTTGAGAATCAGGTTGAGGAGAAAAGGATGATTCTCAAGTCACTGGAAGATCTGGATTCTGTATGTAAAAGGTAATTTCAAACGTGCTTTCAGTTTTACATACCTTACCATATCTTGATTTGAGTTCTTCACTTCTTCTACCTTCAGGTTTGATGCTGCAGAGCAGGTAGAGGACGCATTAACAGGCTTGAAGGTGCTCGACTTTGATGGAAACTTCATTAGGCTCCAACTGCAAACATATATTCCAAAACTAGATGGCTTGCTTGGACAGCATAAACTTGACCACACTGCTGAGCCATCTGAATTGATCCATGAATTGCTGATCCATCTCAAGGATAAAACTACAGAGATAACAAAAGTTGAGGTAAGAACACGCCTCTGAGTTTCACAGCTAACCTGTTTATGTTTTAGTTTCACAGATAAATGTATCATCGATATGTTGCTTCCCTTTCCTTTCCGTGAATATAATCGATTTCTCCCTCAGATGGTTCCAAATGATGTATACATAGGAGACATCATTGACGCTGCTGAATCTTTCAGGTGTGTGCTCGAGCACTTTTTGTTATCCTAAAATTTGTATTACTTTTCAATCTGTAATTACCATAAGTCCCTTTTTCTTTGTTAAAACTGCAGGCAAATAAGGTTACACTCTGCAGTGCTAGACACAAGATCTTCACTCCAGTGGGTTGTGGCTAAAGTACAAGAAAGAATCATTTCGACCACTTTGAGAAAATATATGGCAAAGAGTTCGAAAACAATCAGGTAAGCTTTTTACTTATCATGTAGCTTGAGAGCTGAATTTTGTTTCCCTTGCAAGCTCATGTCTTTATGAATATTCACTGATCCTAATCACAGGCACACATTTGAATACTACGACAAAGATGAAACAATAGTGGGTCACATAGCCGGAGGTATTGATGCTTTTTTAAAAGTCTCTGATGGTTGGCCTCTGCTGAATACTCCGTTGAAGCTTTCATCTCTCAAGAACTCTGAGAATCAGTCGAATGGAATCTCTCTGAGCCTTATCTGCAAAGTTGAGGTAAGACCATGTCACTCCAAGTTCAAGCCTTTTTGGATATACAACATAGTAAAATAGTAAAAGATTTCTCAATTGACTTTTAACAATTGATCTCTTGATCTATTGTTTGTCAGGAGCTAGCGAATTCGTTGGAATTAGAGACGAGGCAAAACTTATCAAGCTTCATGGATGCTATTGAGAGAATACTTGTACAGCAAACTCGTGAGCAACTCCATTCCAATGAAACCTCCCAACAGTGAGTACCAATGAAACGTTTCTTGAGAAGTTTGTGCGGTTTGACTCCATTTTTAGATCTCCATAACATTGTATTCACTTTGTTGTCTGCAAACTCTTTGTTGTAATACTTTAAAATTAAGTTCTGCCACGGTCCATCATATCTAATGATGTTGCTTGCTTCTTAATGCTTATACAAAAAGCCAAACTTTATTGTCCTATAACTTCTTCTGGTCCTACACTCCTACTCTTTAGCTTCATGTCCTCAAGTTTCTTTTGAATGTCAACATCTTTACCACATTATCTTATCATATTATTCATATTTTACATTATCCTCATACTCATACATGCATCTCCTCTTTTTCCACCACACCCACTTGTGCATATACAACTAAGATAAATAAACCTCCACATTCTTTTTTCATATATAAAATACTCTGCAAGACTATTGGTTGAAAGCCAAGAAGCTCTCTAGGTTCCTCTGCTCAAGCTTTCATGGAGGAAACCACCAGAGAGAGCTTCTTCTTCTCTCAACCCAATCTTCCTCTTGAAATGATGGAAGAGATTCTCTTAAGACTACCCGTAAAGTCACTATCACGATTCAAATGCGTTTGCGTCTCGTGGAGATCGTTAATCTCAGAGTCTCTGTTTACTCTTAAACACGCTTTGCTCTTGGAAACCTCAAAGGCAACCACTTGTAAGAAGAGCCCATTCGGAGTCATCACGACGTCACGGTACCATCTCAAATCTTGCTGCGTCCACTCTCTGTACAATGACTCAACGGCCAACGTTTTTGAGCATGACGGTGAGCTTTTAGGCAGAGATTACTACCAAGTCGTGGGGACTTGTCATGGCCTGATCTGTTTCCATGTTGATTACAGCAAGAGCCTCTACTTGTGGAACCCGACCGTCAAGCTTCAAGAAAGATTGTCTGGTTCGGATCTCGAAACGAGCGATGAGGTTGTTGTAACCTATGGGTTTGGTTATGATGCATCTGGAGATGACTATAAAGTGGTTGCATTGTTGCAAGAAAGGCAACGATTGAAGACAGAGGCAAAGATCTATTCAACGAGACAAAAGCTATGGAGAAACACTTGTTTCCCATCTGGTTTTATTGTTGCTGACAAATCAAGATCCGGAATCTACATCAACGGGACTCTTAACTGGGCAGTCACTCATCCATCATCATCATCTTCGTTAACACCATCATTAGCAACTATCATATCGTATGATATGTCAAGAGATGTGTTCAAGGAGATTCTTGGACCAGTTTGTTGCAAGAGAGGATGTTTTACAATGACGCTTGGAGATTTGAGAGGGTCTCTTTCGATGGTTTGTTATTGCAAAGGAGCAAATGCTGATGTTTGGGTGATGAAGGAGTTTGGAGAAGAAGAATCATCATGGTCTAAACTCTTGACCATTCCCGGTTTGACTGAGTTTGTTAGACCGGTATGGATCTCAAACGATTTGGTGGTTTTGTTGGAGTTTAGATCCGGTTTAGCTCTCTATAACTGTGCCAATGGAAGGTATCAGTACCCTGTTTCAGACAGTTTGATTGGTTGTCGTGACGCTAAAGTTTATGTCAAGACAATGGTTTCTCCAAATGGTCTTTGACCTTTAAGAAAAAAAAAAAGTACCAATTTGATCTTTGATTTGGATTTGGTTCAGTTTATATGCATCTAATTTAAAGAAAGTGTTTGTTCTTAGTTATCTTTAATCGTAAAATTACATTATCATCTGGTAAAGAAAAAAAAATCAAATATTCCTAACAAAATCCTCACCATAACAAAGTTACATTTTAACTGTTTTTTTTGTTTTGTTGTTGTTTGTGTGATCGTGTTTACGTACAGGGAGGAATCTGAGCCGTTAGATAAAATGTTCTCAGGAGGCTATTTTCTCCGAGTTGGAGCTCCGGCCGGATCCTGAATTAGTGAAAACAGGAGTGTCTCTGTCTCTGGGGATGGAGGCAGATCCACGACCACTAACACTCTCACTGTTCCCCATATCTTTCGTCTTGTGAAGCAGAAACGTTCCTGACAAAATCGTCACGAAACCGCACAACTCTGTCGCAATCTTTAAACCGCTCTGCGAAGCCCAATCCTGTAATAATAACACACACACAAAAAAAGGAATCGTTTGAGAAACTTGAGAAAGAAGAAAAAAAGGTGAAAATAGAGATTCTTGTTAAGTGACCTTGAACATGATCATGCTAGCTATGATGGTGAATGTTGTGAACATGACGTAGTAAACCGGGGAAATAACCGCTGTGTTGAATCTATCCAATGCCTTAAACCAAATCACAAAAGAGAAGAAACTCAGAAACGGATGTACACAAAAAAATCAAAATATGAAGACGAATTTTTAGAAGTTATTTTTGTTTACCTTGTTCAAGTAATTGATTTGCAAGATGCAACAAGTCGCAACTACGAGAATGAAGATCCAAGCGTGGAAGTATTTGAACTGATTATTCCCTGAGAATGTAAGCTTAATGGCAATAGCCACAGCTTTGACACTCATAACCTAATAAACACACAAAGAGAAACTTTGAGGAAAACAGAGAGGAAGAGAGTGAGTGAGAGAGAGAGTGAGAGAGCATACAGTAAGAGATCCCATAAGAGAGCAGATTCCAACATATACAATCATATGAGTCTTCCCATAGCGAGGTTCGTAGTAGAAGATCAGTACAAGTACAACAATCACGATCACAGCAGAATACACAAGAAAACCTGTTCAAAATCAGAAAATTTCATTTCTATCAGTCTTTACAAGAAACGTTTCCTCGCCAAGAACTTGTGTTTATGTTTATGAAAATGATGATACCTGGTTCAATAGCAAGCTTCCATACTTGCTTGACTGATTCGATCTTCTGCTCGTGCGGGGCGTGTAAGACGATCGTTGTAGAGCCAACAACACAGAGAACGCAACCAAGAATACCGAACATATGCAGTTTCTCTTGCAAGATAAAATGTGCAAGCACTGCGCTGCATAAAAGAAAAACAGTTTCAACAACACACCATCGGTTATATGATACTAATGCAGATGGTTTATGTTTGCAATACCTGAATATAATACTTAGAGCTCCCAGAGGTGTTACTAGAATAGCCGGTGCAAATGCATAGGCTGCAAAATTAGCTATTTCCCCAACAATCACTACAAGTTTAAGAGAAAACCGAAATTTAGTCAATTTATATCAAAAAACATCTCTCTCACTACAATTCAACAGAATCTTTTTTTTTTTCTTGACAAGACTACTTACTTGTTATCATTCCAGCCCACCACCATGGTTCATATAAGTATCCATGTCCTCCTTCACCTGATAACACAGATAGTTGAATTTAACATGAAGCAAGAACAGTTAAACTAATCTTGCAAAATCAAAGTCTTAATTCAAGAACATATATAGGACAGGAAGCAGACCTGCTCGGACTCCGCTGGCACCAGCTTTCTTGAGACCTTTCTTCTTGATGATGAAGCTGGATCCAATGAAAATACTTGAAGAGACGGCTAATATGACTCCATTAATGTTATCAGGCGACATCTGATCCATCTTAGCTTATATATATAATACTTGTTTATATATAAGTAAGATGAATCAGCCTGAAAATACGAAATTCGATTCCAAATTTTCAAAGCATCTGGATTCTGGAGATAAAAACAGAATATGAACATCAGATTGAAGTTTGACTGCATAATGAAATCTGATTTCTGATTTACTAGAAACAAAAAGAGCAAAGATTTTAAGTCTCATACAAATTCCATTGGTTAGTGATTCTTACTTTAATAATTAGCTCATCAACCCAAAAAGAACAAGAAATCTTTGAAATTCCCAGTGACAATTGTAGAAGAGACAAATATAGAAAAACAGAGAGAACAGAGAATCATATCAAAACTTCAAAAGGAAACATAATCATGTAGAGATGCTAAGGAAAAAAATTGAAGAAGAAGAAGAAGGAGAGAAATGTTTACTCTAAAAATAGAATCAAGTCGATACTTGAGAGAATCTACAGTTCTTCAAAGTTTTGAATTTTTTTGATTGAATAGTTCCTCGAATTTAGCCGAGAAGTTTAACGTATGAAACCTCAAAACCCTCTCACATACGTTACCTTTAAATCCACATTAACTACTAATTTTTCTTAAAAATCACTAAAATATCGCCAGCCATTACCAAACAAACAAAAACAAAACCAAAGTGACGAGAAGAAGAACACGCCAAATAACTAAATCCAAGCGCTTCACAAATCATCAAATGATTCACGGAATCCAAACGCGATTTTCACAATTATATTTTCGCAATCGAAGCAGAAAAAAAAAACGATAAATTAAAAGTAGAGGAATAATATCTCGAGCAGGAACGTGCCTTTTTTTTTAGAATATTCGGATTTTAAAACGTACCTTTCACTTTGCGACACGTTCTCTTCCCAAAAGAAATGGAGAAACGAAGAAGAAGAATTGAGAATCTAAGACGCCATGGAACAGGACAACTGATTTTTAGTTGTTCTTCTGTTGAAACAATTTTCTTAAGAAATTAGGGTTTTTGTTGGAATGAAATCAGAGAGAATTAAGAAATGAAACGAATCCAGCGGATATTGGTAACGCAACAGCTCAGGAATTGGTAATGCCCACATTATTTTTCTTTTTTCACATAACCAAAAATATATACATGCTCGCCACTTTCTTAAATTTTTCTCTTCATTATTTTCTTTATACCTTTTTGAGTTAATTAAGACATGGAATATTGCTTAAATTCTTAATTCTGTTTCTGATTTTGTACTTATGAAAGAGATTACCAAAATCTTTTTTTTATTAAAGCTCTATTAATTTGAGTATAAATCGCATTCGTTAAACTCCAAAATATTGATTAACCAACCAATAAAATCAAACCAAAATGTTTCTTTCTTATTTCATTCATCTCCCACTAAATTAAAAGTGAGATACAAAAATAGAAGAGCCTCTCTTCCACAGAGAGGGTTATGATTTTGTTGTTCCCAGAGAAAAAGGAAGCGATGATCGTCCCACTTGCGCTTAGATAAAAAGATTCCGATTTTTTTCTTCTTCTCCTCCTTCTTCTTCTTCTTCTTCTTCTTCTTCTCCTCTATTGCTTTTATCGATTTGCTTGAAACCCTATAACCGCGAGATCTGCCTTCGTTTTCACCGTTCTGCATTCGACCTTAAGCTTATCCAGTAATGGAAGCTTAAGCTCTGCTCTTCTTATCAACTGTTGTTTTCCGAATTAGGGATTTAGCTCCGCCGATTTACTGCGTCGCGGAGAGAGAGGAATTGTGAATTGGTGTTAGGTGCTTACTTGTTCCGATGGCTTCAAACGCTAGTGGTAAGCCCTTTTGGATGAAACACGCGGAAGACGCGAAAATCAAGGACGACGGAGAGAAAGACGCTGCCGCAAAAGCAGCTTTTGATTCTACATTCAAAGGCATCGACCATACTAACACACCTTTGATCGAATCCGCTCCGTCTACGGTACCGGAATCTGAAAGCGATTCAGATGATGATGATGATGAATCTGATTACTTATCGAGGAAACCAATTGGTCTTGTGGATCCGAGTAAGTCCACGGCTTCTGGTGCTGGGATCAGCGGTGGAACGGCCTGTGTGCCGTCTACATTAGTAGTTGTGACGAAGGATTCCGATGGAAGGAAAGTCCCAAACGGTGGAGCTTTGGTAAGGGTTAAAGTCTCTCCTGGTGTTGGCGTTGGTGGTACAGATCAAGAAGCAGTTGTTAAAGATGTTGGAGATGGGAGCTATGATGTTACCTACGTTGTGCCTAAGAGAGGAAACTATATGGTGAGCATTGAGTGTAATGGCAATGCCATCATGGGAAGTCCATTTCCTGTCTTCTTTAGCCAAGGTAAAGTTTCTCATCACACTTTCAAGAAGTTTCTGATTCATTGATGTTTAGTGATAGCAATGGAGCTAGGTTCATTTGTTGATAAAGTCTTGTTTTTTTATCAAAATTCTGAAGCAGGGTCTTCTTCAAATGGACTGATGGGATCTGCTCCAGCTTCGTACTCAAACTTTGTAAACCAAACAATGCCAAACATGCCGAATTACACTGGCTCCGTTTCCGGTGCTTTCCCGGGGCTGTTGGGAATGGTTCCGGGGATTGCACCTGGTCCTTCAGGTGGTGCTATCTTGCCTGGAGTTGGAGCTTCGCTCGGGGAAGTCTGCAGGGAATATCTTAACGGTAGATGTGCAAACACTGTTTGCAAGCTGAATCACCCTCCGCAGAATCTGCTGATGACTGCTATAGCTGCAACAACAAGCATGGGTAATCTAAGTCAGGTCCCTATGGCACCTTCCGCTGCAGCAATGGCTGCTGCTCAAGCCATTGTCGCCGCTCAGGCCCTTCAAGCTCATGCTTCTCAGATGCAAGCTCAAGCTCGATCAAACAAAGGCTCTTTAGGTATTGTGCCCTCTCTATACAAATTTAGTTTGCTTCTCTTTGTTATACTGATGAGTAGAAGTAGCTTCTGCTTTAGGTTCACCAGAGAGGGGAGAAAAAGAAGAGACCATGAAGAAATGTGTCCAAGTTAGCAACCTGAGCCCACAGCTTACAACTGAACAGCTTAGGCAGCTATTTAGCTTATGTGGCACAGTAGTTGACTGTAGTATAACTGATGCAAAGCATCTTGCCTATATAGAATACTCAAAGGCAGAAGAAGCGACCGCTGCTTTGGCATTAAACAATAA